TCCTGTAGGCATAATTTAGGTAGTCTGTCATGTAGGGCTGCTTTGGGATTACACAGTGTTTAGGTTGCCTTGCTCAGAAAAGAAAAATATCCCCAAAGAAAGTCTGTCTTTCATGCTATGATGGTTGTTGTGAAGTAGAATGGTAATAGATACCACTTTCCTGGTCCATACTCCTGACAGTGTAAATGGAGCTGAGAGTCGCTTATGTGTTCCAGCCTCAGCTCTGGAAAGGGGGGGGGGGAATCGAGGATTAGATTTTTCCATGTTTAGCTTTGTCTTAAATTTCTGCAAGATTATGCTCTTGTTACAGTCAAACATCAGCTGTGCTGCTTTCTTTTTCTTTGGTTATTAGCCCCTTAGGTATAGCTTTGTAATCAAAGAGAGGTCAGCTGTATCAAAATAGCAGAATGCCAGAATGTATTTGGCAATGATCCTTCCCCAAAGATCTTGTTATGAAGTGTTACTTTGGGGGTGGGGAGCCTACAAAGTATTGTTCAAAAAAATAATAATGCAAGAAATTACTTTGCAAGGCTCAAGTCATAAATTCACTCTGGTCGAAATGCAGAGTCGAGTAAACCTTGGAGCTATGCGCTGATCATTGTTACCACTGGTTAAAAAAGAAAAAAGAAAACAAGGGCTCCTTTCCTTTGGATGGAATGCAGAGGACCAGATCTGCTGACAAACTGCACAAGCCGCGTGGGAAGCACATTCTGCCCACACAAAAAAAAAGAAATTTGTGTTTAATTCCCCTGCATCTCCAGAGATAGGACGGGAATCCTTGAACACCAAAGGTGCCTTTTATTATTTTTATTATTCTTTCTTCCAAAAAAAAAAAAGGTAGTAAGCATTTCAGTTTGGAAGACGCCGTGTTGTTCCGTGGAGTCAAAGAAATCTCACACCGCTCTGCTAACTGTGTGTGCTCAGTTTTGATTGTTACTTGGCTCTGCTAGGCTCCCCTGCAGATGCTTCCAGCAGGTTCACAGATGCTGTGTTGCTGCACAAAACAAGCAACCTCTAGTTTAAATGGAACAAAAGGTGCAGACTGGCTTCCTTCCCCTTTGGGAGAAGGGGAAATCTCTTTATTTCACTATTAGCCTTCAACCCCAAAAGCACAAACCTAAGCTGTCCTGCTATGTACTCCTTTCAAAAAAAGGGACTTTTGTAATGAGTAAAGCCATGCTTCTGATATATTGCTTTGCTTCAGAATTCTTGTCTTGCAAGTCCTTCTGCACTGTGCTTTGTAGAAGGAACAGTTTGTTTGAGGGCCAAACTAGATTTGATGTGAGTGGGAACCATGATAGTTTTTAAATTTGGTAAAAAGCAGCCAGGTGGGTTTGGATTCAGCCTGATTTGCTTGGATGAAAATGTCCCCAAACTGCTATCAGCAATGGAGATAACCTACATCCATACATTAAAAGCACTTTAATAATACTGTGACAAGCATGAAGCATCCTGGGAACTGTAGTTTGTTAAGGGTGCTGGGAATTATAGTCCTGTGAGGTCATCACCTTTAACATCCTAGAGTTTTCAGGATGTTCCATGACTCTTAAAGTGGTAATGGTGTTGATACTCAATGTTATAGATAGCTTTTCCTGCCACCTAAACAGCAGCTTCCAATGGGGGTGCAGAGTTTTAGCTTAGCGAGATGAATTAATATCCCCTCCCCAGCACTGCAACTGCAAGTCAAGTGAAATTGCTTCCACGGTGGCTGCTTTTAACCAAAGGAAAAGATTTCAGGAGATCCGGTCAGAGATCTCCCACACACTATTTAGCTTGGCTCTTAGAGTGACCGCTGAAACGTTACCTAAACTGAAATTCAAGGCTAATGTGGGGGTTCCTTTTCAGGTGACCAGCTTTTAAGGGTAGCCCAATTTTTTTTGGAAAGAGTACTAACAGTTCTCACAGGAGTTTCACATATCCCTTATTGATTTGCTTGGAAAAGAGGTTGGGGGGGTGGGAGGAAGGAGAATTGTAAGTAATATGAGGTGGGGAAGGAACGTCCACATTATTTTATTCTCTCATCAATGTACATGGCAAGTCCCTGCCACAAATCTGCTGACAATCTAAATTTCATTGGCGCAGGTTGGGGGGTATCAAAGAGGGCAAAAAGGAGTGGATTTAAGAAACAACAGAAAGAAAGGGTGAGTGGGTAAAACAGTGGCGTAGCGTGGGGGTGCAGGGGGGGCCAGCCGCACCGGGCACAACATCTGGGGGTTAGGGTTAGGGGGCGCAAATCCAGAGGTTAGGGGGCGCAAATCCACGGATTAGGGGGTGCAAATTACTTGCCTTGCCCCGGGTGCTGACAACCCACGCTACGCCACTGGGGTAAAACCAGTGTTAACAAGGCTTTTATGCATTTACAGTGGACAATGCATTTGCAGTGGGTTGCAAACGTGATCTGTGCGGGAAGCATGTTCGCAACCCGCAATGCAGCGCAATGTCTGCACATGCGTGGGTCGCAATTCGGCGCTTCTGCACATGTGCAAAGCGCGATTTAGCACTTCTGCGCATACGCAAGTGCCAAAACCTGAAAGTAACCTGTTCCGGTACTTCTGGGTTCGGCGCGGTGCGCAACCTGAAATCACGCAACCCAAAGCGTCTGTAACCCAAGGTATGACTGTATTTATTTATAAAAGCAGCTATATACCACCAATTCATACAATATAACAAGGCAGTGTATAATAATTTATATGACAAAGTATAAACACCATATAAACAGTACAAAATGATTAAGGTGACTGGCTGATCAAAAAAATTATACTGTTGCATAGGCCTGTCTTCAAGAGATGCCTGAAAGTCAATAGCAAGCATACCTGCTGAATCTCTGCTGGCAGAGTATTCCACAGCATGGTCCTGGTAACACTAACTGCTCGACTTCTACGGGAGGTCAGTCAGGCCTCTGAAACATGGGGGTTGAATGGGATAGCCTCCAAAGTCCCTTACAAGCCCATGATTCTATGCCTGCAAACATATCATCAAGGGTGACCAAGTGATAGAGGATCTAGAAACCAAGCCTTATATAAGGTTTCCAGATTTTTTTCAATGAATCCGGGGACACTTTTCAACTTCCATGGATTTTGTATGGGGACTGATTTGTAAATCCAGGGACCGTCCCCGGGAAACAGGGACTTCTGGCAACCTGACCTTATGAGGAATGGTTGAAGGCATTGGTTATGTTTAGCCTGGAGAACAGAAGAGTGAGAGGTGTCATGATAGCCATCTTCAGGTATCCTTCAGGTATCAGGTATCGAAGGGAGCAGACAAGAAAGGAGATTCCAACTACAGTGGTACCTCGGGTTAAGAACTTAATTCGTTCTGGAGGTCCGTTCTTAAACTGAAACTCTTCTTAACCTGAGGTACCACTTTAGCTAATGGGGCCTCCTGCCGCCACTGCCGCATGATTTCTGTTCTCATCCTGAAGCAAAGTTCTTAACCTGAGGTACTATTTCTGGGTTAGCAGAGTCTGTAACCTGAAGCATCTGTAACCTGAAGCGTCTGTAACCCAAGGTACCACTGTAAACATTCGGAGGAACTTTCTGGTAGTAAGAGCTGGTTTGACAGTGGAATGGACATATGGAAAGTGGTGGGCTCTCCCTTGTTGGAGGTTTTTAAGCAGAGGTTGGATGGCTATCTGTCAGGGAATCTTTGGCTGTGATTCCTGCATTGCAGGGGGTATGATTTGATTTAGAATAATAGAATTTTAGAGTTGGAAGGTACCCTAAGGGTCATCTAGTCCAACCCCCTGCAATGCACAAAGTTCTGCCTTGCTCAAACTGTGCTAGTAAAGTGATATGTTCCTTCCCTGTATTCTAATTAAAACAAGTTGAGTTTGTTTGAGTGAGTGTCATCGAGAATAAGAGTCTGCAAATGTTTGTTTCTGAATGATTTATTTAGCCATTGTTTACCTCTTTAAAGTTTGGCTACAAATATTTAAACAACCCCAAAAAAAATCTTCAGAGGGCAAAACTTGATCTCACATAATTTTATGCTTTCAAGAAGGAAATGTTGTGATCCCCCACAAACACGGCTGGAGCATGTATGCTTCTTAATTAAGGAAAGAAACAAGCTTCCCTGTTAAAAAAAAAATCTTTGCAGTTCTTTCATACATTTAGGGAGCAATCCTATGGCAAGATTCACTGGGATGAGCAGTTTAGGACTCAGTGGATCTCTGGCCCAGCTGATCAAGTCCCCGGCCCTGCTTAGGCTGAAAATATGGTGGTGTAACTTGCTCATCCTGCCTCAGCCAGGACTCAGCTGGCTGAACCAAAGCTGGCTGAGCTGATTCAAGCATAATTCACCCAAAAAGGCATTCCAAGGGCATAGCAGGGGCAGAACCATGGACTTAGCTGGATCCTAACCCCATTCAGTTTGGTCACGTGGCCTGGCAGCCCAGCATAAGAACTCTATTCCATAAGTTTAGAGACAATGACATGAATGAATAGATTTGCAGATGCACCCATGAAAATTTATCAGCTTATAGAAATGCATGCGCGTTGGGTGTCAGTGTTGTGAAATGACTACAAAATAAGATGTTAAGAAGTCAAACAAATGGAAGGATGTCTTGTTCAGTGTCATTTGATCTAGAATCAACTCTGATTATAGGCAAGGACCCAAAATTTAGCTGCTGTCAAGGGTTTGCAATATCCGCTGGAATAGTTGTTCCTTTCTTTTTGAGAAGCGGACCTGTATGCCACATAACAAAATATTTTTTGAAAATTCCCTCACTTTCAGAAACTGTCTGCTGTTTGGTACAGAGTACTGCTATTCCTATTTCTATCATTATGACTGTTTTTTATGTAGCCACTCATGCAGTTCTAAGAATCCCAACCTCAAAATATTTCTTCTTTTTCAAAAAAGAAGAAGAAGAAACTCAAAACATGGCCTCCACGGCCTTTACCAAGTTGGATTCTACACATTTGCCAGCCAGCGTGATGTTGCAAGCCAAAGTGAGCATGCTTAGTTGGTGTATGTTCTAATGGTTTTGTTCTTAATGATTTCAGGATGGTGGTTTGATGCCTGTGGGCCTTCCAATCTCAATGGAATGTTCTACTCTGCTGGGCAGCACCATGGAAAAATAAATGGAATCAAATGGCACTACTTCAAAGGCCCCAGTTATTCATTACGTTCCACAACTATGATGATCCGGCCCTTAGACTTTTAAACGCACCAAGCAAAAGCAAGAACAATGTGCAGTATAGCTACCATATTCTGAAGAACTTCGTATGTGACCTTCAGAAGCAGAGGGTGAGGACTTCCTGAAAGCATCAAATGGCAGCCGCCCATCAGTACTCAGATCTTCCCTGTCACAGGCTGCAGTAAACGGACACAAGTCACCACCCAACACACCAGGATGCAGATGACACTGTGGTTGCTTGGACTAGCGAAGGTGTTTATTGCGACAGATCAGTGGACAACATTACAGTTTGGTTGCCACAAATGAACCTAATACATTTGAGCAGAAGCTTGTTTGCTTGTACAAAACTGCCAGATTAAACTAGATGAAATTTTGTAAAGCAGAAATACATCATCATCATCATCATCACCATCATCATCCGTGGAGAAAAGGATGCTTGTCAGTGAAGGAAATAGGACAGAATCTATGCAAAAAAAAAGCACAACCGATATTTATTTTAATTGGTACACGTGCCTTAAAAAAGAAACACAAAGATGGTCATTCAAAGCGTTGCTTGGTATCAGCAAACACCATTTAGATGGATAACGTCTCTTTAATGTAGGATCAATATGGTATGTTGGAGCAATTTCTCATTAAGTCGGTTTCAAATGTGAAACATGCCCCCAATAAAGAGACTGTGAATCATGATGGAGAGAGAATGATAAGAGCAATATGCAGAGAGTTGTCAATGGTCCTGCATGGCTGGGGGCGAATGTAGGTAATCCTGATAATTGGCATAATCCTTCAACTGGGATTTATAGCATGATAACAAAAGAAACCAGGGATTTTTCTTTCTGACTGTTACGGCTCTGGCCTCTAACAAATGAAGTCTGAATGTCAAACCCAGATATTTTGTAAGGTGAAATAAAGGTTATTTTGCAAATGGAATTTCCTTTGAAATATACAGCATGGATGCAGATGGCGTAACCACATATTCCAACTGCATTTGGTTCATGAAGCAGTGTTTTGTTGTTGTTTTTGCATGTGCACATTTTAGAGTTAATTACTTCTGAATTGCTTTTAGACCTTCATTTCTTCTCTATGTTATTCATCCTTAATCTGCAAAATAAGTTAAGCAGGAGACTATCAGTTCTTTGCTGTGCTTCAGTTACTGCTGTGAAATAGTAAATACAGGAGAACTAAGGGAATACTTACAGTTATGTATTGTAATTGCAGTGGGCATGGGCACAGAGTAGCCAAAGTTAAAGGCATTAATTTCAGTGGGAAAACTAAGCCTATGCGTAACTCTTTTATTTGAAATGAATGGGACTTAAAAGTGCTCATCTGAATCATGTCCCATACGTAGGGCTGCAATAAACGTGTAGCTTTCGGTAGTTGTATGGAAGGGGTTTGTTGTGCTCTAGTACTACAATGTTGATTCCTGAATAACTTGCCTCCAATGTATGCACTTCTAGAATTTCATGTGCTTCCTTGTGTACATTGTCGACCAGCTCAGACAGACATATGGCCCAAGGGAAACGCACCTATGCTTCATTAATGTAACTCATGTGCATGAAAGATCTCATACATAGGAAGTTGCCTTATACAGGTCCCTCTAGTTCAGCACTGCTTCTGTGCAGACTATCGGTATCTTTCTAGGGTTTTAGATGTGAGTTTCCCCCAGTTCTACCTGCAGATGTCAGGTATTAAACCATGTACTCTGCCACAGAGCTTGTGGTCCTTCTCTTGCAGAAATGGGTGAGATAACCATTCACATGTAAAAATTAGGCTCATTCCATTATTTTTGAGAGCCATCCTTTTTAAGAAAATGGGGATCAGAGAAAGCTGACCGGCCATACATTTGTATGTGCAACTATCTGGTCCACATCCAATATTATTTGCTCAGTTGGCATTCATCTATGTGCATTTTCAGAATACATAGGAACTTATCAGGTCCACAAGACTTCAGAGCTCCAGTGCACATGAGAAGTTAAATGAGGAAACCAATGTGAATGGGAACTCAAGGAACCTGCAGTAAAATCTTCTGTGTGATGGGAACTTGTGTGCATGTGTGGCACTGAGCAAATGCTATCAACAAAGCATGGGACGTGCGCTGCACACATTCCTTATGTATGTGCAGATTGGGGTTTTTCCAGCTATCAAGGTATCATTATCCGAGCTTTTCTATGCCATGAGAAGTATCTGAGTAAGGAAGGATCATCTTATGGGGGAAATCATTTACAAATCAGCATCTCAGGAAGTCCTTGTTGTAAGAACACCGTGTCCGGCACTGTTCAACAAGTCTCACTCTGACTTTCAACTGTGTTTCATATATCATTATAGGTGTACTTTAGGGGTGGCTAACCTGTGGGCTGCAGACCACATCTGGTCCTCCAAGAGGTTTTATTTGTGCCCCCTCATCACACACACCCGTTAAATGGGACAGGCCACTAGCCATGATGGCTATATTCTGCCTCCATAGTTGGAGATAGTAATGTTTCTGAATACCAGTTGCTGGAAACCATAGGAAGGGAGAGTGCTCTTGTGCTCAAATTCTGCTTGTGTGTATCTCACAGGCATCCAGTTGTCCACTGTGAGAGCACCATGCTGGACTAAATGGGCCATTGGGCTCATCCAGCAGGCTCTTTTAAGTTTGATGTCCTCCACTACTCCTGAAGACAACAGGCTAACATAGGAAGTGCAGGGCAGGCTGTGGTGTAGACCAGTGTTTCCCAACCGGTGTTCCGCGGCACACTAGTGTGCCGCGAGATGTTGCCTGGTGTGCCGCGAGATGTTGCCTGGAGGGAGGCGGGCGAGGGCGTTTGCTTCCCGGAGGACGGAGCGAGGGCGCCCCCTGCTGGGCCGGGGCTCGCTCTCCCCAGAGGGTAAATCTGGATCAAATGGGGCGAGGGGCGGGCAGAATTCTGGGGGCCACTGATGCCCTACAGACCCCCCCCAAGTCCTCCGGGGCGCGCGCTCTGCTGGGCTCTTTTTGGTCGTCGTGCTTGTGGGAAGCCGCCCCTTCCCTGGGCGACGCGCCGCCTCGCGACTCCGGAGTCAGTCCCGCGGGCTCTCGGAGGGACTCGCGAGCGACGGCGCGGCGGCTCCGGGGCGCGCTCAGCCGGGCCGCCGCGCGCCCCCGCGCAGCCCCTGCTGCAGCTGCCCGGCGTGGAGCGCGACGCAGAGCCGGCCGGGCTTGGAGGCGCCCAGGTAGGGCCGAGCCGGGCGGGGGCAGGGAGGTCTCGGTCTGCTGCGGGCGCAGGAGGGCGAGCGGGAGAGGGGGAGCCGTCGGGTCTCCTGGAAGGAAGCAAGGCGGCGGCTGAGGGGGATGCAGCCCCGTCCCCAGCAACAGGCGCTCCTCGAAGTGAGGCCACAAGTCGGGGCTCGGACAGGGCCTGGAAGCAGCGGCTCCGGCTCTTGGGAGCGGAGAAGGGGACTTCGAAAGCGGCCTGGAGGAGAAAAGCCCCGATGCAGCGAGAGCGGGGAGCGTGCTGCCTTGTCCAGGCCTCCTCGCTTTGTGCCGTCCGCTGCCGGGAGCAGGACACGGGGGCTCCTCGTTCGCATGCTTTCCCGGGTGATCGGTGAGGGTTAGGGTTAGGGTTAGGGTCCCTCAGTCCCTCGCTTTGCTGCCTCCTCCCCCCCCCCACCCCCAAAGCTTGGAGGTTCCCCGGCAAGGGGGAGGGAAAAAATTTGAAAGTTACACTTTTGTGCATCCCTCCCGGCGTGACGCTGCGCGCTGACGTCACGGGGCTGTAATGGTGGTGTGCCTCGATATTTTTTTCATCAAACAAGTGTGCCTTTGCCCAAAAAAGGTTGGGAAACACTGGTGTAGACACATTGCTCTGACTTCCGACACAGTCAATCCCTCACGCTCAGCCTCTGTCACTTGAGATGACCACCTCACTGTGTCTAATGTTTGATATATTTTTAACTGTTGAATCACTGCAAATTATTTTATAGCAAGTGATTCAGAAATGGAAATGAATAACTAATGAATAAACAGTAGTGGAATCTGGCCCTGTTGAAATGAGCACACAGTTGGGTTGCTCTGAAGCGTGAGCCTCTTTCTAAAGGAAATAAAAAATGTTCAACAAGTTTTTCTAATGTTGTGCTTAAGAAAGTTGACTACCCACCCACTTCATAGCTTGCTTTGCTTCCATTTATGGGAATGATGAAGCTTGCACAGGTTTCCTACTGAAAACCTGGAAGTACAAGGGGGTGACCACAGGATTATTTGTAACCGTGATGGCTCCATGTCTCTCAAGTTTAGAAGGTCTTTTGTATTGATGTATCCGTATGTATTTTTCTTTGCATTATCCTGCCTGAAGGGTTAGTTTGTTGTGTTCCAACTTGTTCTTTGCTCAGTGGTTCCTTCATACTTCTGGTTTCTCTCTCATTCCAGCAGTCTTCATTTAAGTCCAAAAAGTGTGCTACTTCTCAAAAAATCTTTTTTTTTTAAGTCTCCAAATCAGGAATGCCATCGTGTAGATCGTATTGCAAAGGACAATTAAAAAAAAAACCATAAAGGAAAAGATATGTCAAAACTCAAGCATGATATTTACTGTTTATTTATCTCAGTTTGAACAAATGGGAACATGGTTTCCTATCCTTTATAATAAAACATTTAAAACACATTGGTTGGCTCCGTGTTTTGCTGTGTTTGGAGTGTACATTCTTGTGGTAGCCCACATTTGAGAGGAGGGAAAACCTAAGTAGAACAATATTCAGAAGTTCAGGCTGGCAATCTGAGGGCTGAGAAGATCAAGCCTCTTTGACACTACTAGAACTTGGGGGCATCCAGTGAAGCTGGTTGTTGGAAGATTCAGGAAAGACAAAAGGAAGTACTTCTTCACACAGCACCAAGGTAAACGATGGAATGCAGTCCCACAAAAAGTAGTAATGGGCACCAACTTGGATGGCTTTCAAAGAGGATTTGGAGGAAATTCAGGGAGGATAAGGCTGTAAATATGTTCCAATATGCCCCTGCATGCCAATTGCTGGGCATCCCTGTCGCGCCAGTGCTGGGGGAGGAAAAAACTTTAACATGTAGCAGAGTTCCCCCAAAATAGACCGGAGGCAATTAATATTTCATTCAACAGAGCTTTTACTTTCATCTGAAGGCAAATGAGCATAATGGTCACAAATCCAGTACATTCAGGATTGGCACAGTCCATAAAAAAGCAAGTTGCAGCACTTACAAATATTTATAACAAGACTAAACCTTAACACTAAGCATACTATGTACAGAACACCATACCAAAAAGAAGAGAAATAGAAAGTAAAACCCAGGCTCCTTCTGGCTTATATTTATAATCAACATGACCTTAATTGGAAGAGATAAGAGAACCAGTTCAAGCCAGCTGTACTCAGCTTCTCTGAAGGTATAACCCAAACAATCATGAACCTTCTGCTTGTTTCTTTCACACAGAGGAGCTTCCAGAATTCTCTTGTATTAGTTAGAATAGGAAAGATCTCTATACATCAGATCAATACTTTCGGTACTAAGAAATGAAACCTGACAATCCCAAGTGGAGACAGGGCTCAAGCACTCAGCTTCTGCTTTCAGGCTCCCCCTAGGCATCTGATTGGCCACTATGAGATCAGAGTGAAGGACAAGATGAGCCATTGGCCTGATCAAGGAGGCTCTTCTTATGATCTAAAAGCACTTCACAATTTTTTTTTAAAAAAAGAAATATTCTGTCTCTTGCTAACAAACGATACAATTCCATTTCTTGCTGGTTCCTACCAGCTGATTACTACACAACTTCATTTGGATTTGGATTTCCTTTCTAATGACTCATTTTCCTTTGGGCCATCTTTGTATGAAATGGAATTACTTGTTTCTTCTTCCCTAATGACTTTTTATTCATTAATCACTCTCTGGTTTATGAAGCCTGGCAGTGGCCAGCCTCAATTAGCTCGAATTCTTTTACCAGATCCCAGCCATT